TGGTGAACAAAGTAGAGGCCGAGATGTGATTTCGTGGAGGCTTACGATTCGAATCGATCGACACCACCATTAATCGCTGTTGTTCTTGCTATTTTTCAAGGAACCCACTGTAAGTATTCGCATCCCTTCCTTCTGATTTCGGTTTTTCACACTTGGATCGCTGGTGAGACCGTCGAGTTTTGTTTCCGTTACGCCGTGGGGTGCGCCTACGGTCCCAACACCAACTAAACCTAAAACCCGACCCAAACACAAAACAAGACCCAGAACCTAAAATATCTGACCCAGAGACCCAAATTAGATCCGAACCAGGTCTAACCCTATCCCTAGGGTAGCCGCCCAATTCCCCCCAACCAGTGTCCACCATTTCTCTGCCTCAATGCCAGTAAAACACCCCGTGCACGGCACCACCTCCACCAGCACTCAACTCCTGCATCAGACAAAGAAAACAAGACAAAAGTTATCATTTCTTTTTCCCTTGTAAATAAGTATAAAAACCCCAAACAAAAATGATGTAATCTCTCAGTTTTTTAATAAATACATCTAGAAGAAAAAATAGATTTTAAAGGTTATTATTTTTCCTTACTATTTCGAGTAGTATTAATTTTGATTTCCTGCTTGTTTTGATTCTTTCTAGTCTCGAATATCAGTTGAGAAATCTTTTTCGATTTTCAATTGAAATAATAAAGAACATTCTTTTTATCTTCGAGAAAAAAATACAATAACACACAAAAAAAGGCTTTCCTTCAATTTCTAGCAACAACAAAAATGTCCCCTTTTTTTAGTTTCGTATAACCAGTAATACAAAAAAACTTGTCAAAATAAAATCAACCAGCCATTTTTGCAGTAAAAAATGAAATAAAAAAAGAAAATGGTAGATCGGGATACCTTGAGTCAAAAAATAAGCCATCGTTGTGTCACCGATTTGGGGAAGTCGAGCGGTCTAGTGGCATTTTCAAGTGGTTTAAGGGCTTTTTCGGTGTTTTTACCCCTAAAAGGAACCTAGGCTAACGGATCTAAATTTTTTTTAGCCTTTGGGGTCATTTTGGGTTTTCCAATCGCCGTGTGAGGCGGCCATAATGAGGCAAGGTGGCCAATAAGGTGGCCGGCATGGGGCCGGCTGGAGAGAAATGAGAGAACTCTCTCAATTTTTTTTAAAATTTGAGTTTCAAATTAAAAAAAAAAAGTCTAAGGTTGTATTTATAAAACGAGTTAGGGGAAGTTGCACTTAGGTCCCCCTAACTCACCCGTGTTTTTACAAAATAACCACTTGAAGGGATCGTTTTCATAAATTTTCCATTTCTATTTGTGCTTTGTATTTTTTGGGATTTTTACTGTTTAGCCCCCACTTTTAGCATATTTTTGCAGTTTGGTCACTTGTACGGACCAAAATTGTTATTTTCCCTTTTCCTTAAGTGTCTTTATTTTTTTGGGTTATTCACATTTTAGTCCCCCTATATTTACCGTGTTTTCGCATTTTGGTCATTGAACCTCCCTTGTCTGATTTATTGCACTTTTATCATTCTGTTTTACTTTATTTTAATTTAGTCACTGTTTATTTCTGATTTAGCTACAGTTATTTTATTTTATGCATTTTAGTCACTGTTTACTTTTGATTTAGCTACTGTTTTTTTTTATTTTGTTATATTTTAGTCCCCATCTAGATCAGTTTTATTTTATGTTTAGTCCCTAAATTAGGAGAATTCTTAATTTGGTCATCGCTCTTGTTCGAGGTTCCAATTTAATTATTTAAAATTTAAAATTAATTTAGATTAAAATTAGAGCCTCTATTTTAGTTAGATTTCAATCTAATCTTTTTAATTTAGGGTATAATTCAAGTTGTCCCTCACCTAAATGCTCAAGGGACCATCTCGGTTATTTGATTCAATAACTGATTTAAAAATCAAATAGGCATAATATTATAACCTACATTTTTAGGCTTGAGCTTCTAGGTTCCTTAATTTTCATACTTTGACACTTTAAGCTAGAAAAGGCCTTAATTCACCCTTAGCTTAATTAGGATAAATAAAAAAATTTTGATTGCATTTTATTTTTAAACCTAAGGCAATGTTCACTTATTAGGGAATTAATATATCTCCCGCAATTATGCTCAGTGGGTGACTACTAGTGATTCCCGAAATAGGTCGACAACCTTTTCAAAAATTGTATCATGATTTTCTAAATTAAGGTAATGTCCAGTTATTGGGCATAATAGTTGATATCCTGTATTCATGCTAGGGGCGAGAATGCTATCGGCCTTAATATACTAATACCCTTTTAAACTTTTTGCATCCGTAATGATTTTCAAATTAAAAAAAAAGGTACCAATTTTTGGGCACTTGTGGGGGTGCTAATCCTTCCCCACACGCAACTGACTCCCGAACCCGATTTCTTGATTTTTTGTAGACCCAAAAACATGGTATTTTGATAAAAAAATAAAATGTTTTATTAAAATCACCCGATTTTTATGGTGTCCCAATCGTACCTTAAATGATTGGTGGCGACTCCTCACATTTCAAAATTCTTTTCAAGGAAAAAAACCCCCATGTCGATATAGGTCTTTTCCCTGCCCATGCAAAAAACGGTGTCAACAGCTTGGCGACTCCACTGGGGACGTTTTGTTTTTAAAATAATTTGTGAGTCGAGACACGAGTTAGTTACCCTATATTTAGGATTTTTAAAGTTATGAGTTCGATCTTATTTAATTTATAGTTCATTATGTTATTTCAAAGGAAAAAGATTTTCTCTCTAGTTAATGTTTACACTTCTGTGAATTTATTTAGGATTGTTGTATATCATAGTTCAAAACTCGAGCTCAATCTCAGTTTACCTAAGTGGGGGAAATGTCACACCGGCTTCCTCGTGTGGGTTTGACAAATTACCTCTAGAAAGCACCCTAATTTGCCTATCCAAATATCAATTCCGAGATACACTTTTAGCGGTGTGATCCTCTAAGAAGAATCTGATTCGCAAGTCTGTAATTGGCTAAAATCAGAGTCAACCTTAGCAGGTTGTAAAGATGGCTTGGAAACCTTCTTAGAGCCAAACCTCATCTAGAGAATTTAGTAAACTTACCCTGCTAAAGCCATGTGGATAACCTAGGAGAACTAGAATGCATGCGGTTAGGACTCTTAATTTCCTTTGTACGATTTATTTTTCAATCTCAACTTTGAGTCGTATTATTTTTTCTAAGATTACGTTCCTTTGACTAATTATTTTAACTAATTTGACTCTTTTTGTCTTGTTTCTACTAACATTGATTCATTTTCTCCGATCTTGTGTTTTGTTGCATTTTTACATGGACATGACATATCATTCAGAGGTATTGATCTCTTAAATAATTGATCTTTTAGAAGGTTCTTGAAAAACAATGCATTTCGTTGGGTTAGGTAGAATTTTGAATATGCTCTACGTATATCGAGTACAATCAAGAGAGAGTCTACCTACTAAGGAGACAAGCCAGACGTCGGGCAGCTAAGGTAAGAAGTCGGACTCAAGAAGATACGACGTCGAAACCAACGATTGAACGTCATGAAGCAGCTCAAAAGACTTCAGAAAGTAAGGGACTAAGTACAAGCTTTGAAGATTTTCAATATCCCTAAATCTGACGAAGAACGATGCAATACCCAAATGCTCGCAGGAGTTGCACAACTTACAAATGGACCAGATCTTCACTTCCCTAGGGTACAAAGCATTGTCATTTTTTCAAGAATTGTTCAAGGAACAATTATATTTTGGGATCAATGTCTTTTGTATACATTCATTTTGCATGACACTTGTATTCTTTAATACATTTCCAAATCATGTATTAAAACATTCATTCATTAAAACAAAAATAATGAGGTAAGGTTTTCGATCGCAGTGATCCTGGTTCATACTGCTAGTAATAATGCTTAGCATCTGCACGAAAAAAGAAATATGCCTAAGGAAATAGAGGATAAGCTACCCAGAATTAAGAGAGAACAGAAAGACATGCAAGAAGAAATGAGGAGCAAGTTGGCACAAATTGAAGCTGGTATCATAAACTCTCAGCTCGATCTGCTAAATAAGGTGAAAGAAATATTTAGGAGACATTCGACCTCTGGAAAGACTATTGTGGAAGACCCCACACATTCTCCTGGTTTCACACATGTTCACATTCCTGAGCACACCTTTGCGCATCAAGGAATCTGATCACCAGTCTGCTTCACTGTCGTGTGTAGACACCCGTTTTGTCCGGGATATTATTTTTATTATTATTATTATATTATTTTATTATTAATAATAATGTTAACATTATTTATGTTATCATTTTACAGGCCAAGGTACGCCAAGCACAAATCAGGCCCCAAATTACAAACAGTTCATGCCATCCATGTTGATCGCCAATTTTGAACATGTTACGAGCATATTTGGATGATGAAGTCTTCTTAACATTTAATCCTCTATCTCTTAACTTTCCAACGCACTTTGAACCGTATCAATCCGATATCAGTAGCTCGAGATATGCTCAGATAAATGAAGACTGTGCAAGCTGAAAAATTAATACGGGATTTACGAATTTTCAACATATCTTTGTTTTCCATTAACTTGCACAATAGACACGTTGGAACAACATCTTGTTTAGCACGTGCATCTTGTTATTATAACTAGATATACTTGCATTAGCATTTATCATGACAGCATGTTATTATTTATTTTGTTGACTCACGTGCATTCATATTCATGGCAGCATACATAGCATTCGTGTGCTTCATTTGCATTCAGATATAATTATTTGTTAGCTCATTAATGTTTGTCATCTTAACATTCATGCATACGTGTTTGTTCATGTAAAATAAAAAGACTTGTCATGTTTTTCACGTATTAGCATATCATTTGTGTAAGTCTTTGCATTCAACTTTGCATTCAACTTTGCATCCAGCACTTTCACGTGTTGTTGTAGTTTAATGTTAATAAACATGCATCATGGTTCACAAAGCACAAGGACATTCACGCAGCAAGTAAACAGATTATAAGGGTTTAATATCATTGAAATACTTGTTTATTCTTTGCACATATAGGTACACAAGAATCTGCCTCATGCTGAACTGTTTAGTGGAGTACTAGAAGACAAATCCCACTCACAAAATATGGCAGCAAGGGAATTAAAATATAGCACAAGTGGGCAACGTGTGGGAGCACATTTGAGACAGTTCCAGCTCATACACGGCAACAAGCACATGTGGGGGAAAGTTTGTGTTGGGGCACACTCACAAAGCATAAACAGCACATTAAAATTATTAGAGAGAAAGACAGCACGTGGGATACAAAACTAGTTGAATAAAATCAGTCCCAATGACTCATATCCACCCATGCTGTCCATGCCCCTCGTGAAGACCCCATGTTCCTGCAAAATACATTAGTATATTCAACACATGAAGTGGGAGCAGCATTATTATGGGAGAATAAAAAAAATTTCATCATCAACAGATTCACGGGCAGAAGACCCGAGGCAGTGCGCCGTTCACCAAGTACCCACCTGCGTTTGTCGGCTATTCACGGAAGCACTACCGCCGTTCACTTGGCTCGAGCCCATAACTGGCAAGGAGGGAATATAACACGGGACGAACACAAAAGAAGAAAAAGACACATCATCGAGGGAACCAGTTATCACCAAGCAGAGAACCAACCATCACAAGGACCACGAAACAAAAGAAATCCATAACGAAAAAAACCCCATTAGCAAATCAGTAAACAAAGAACGAAGCAACAAAAAAGCCTCACCTTCCATATTAGAAGAGCAGAACGTCACTATCGCCGGAACCCGAGCCTCGTTTGGTCATTAAGGGTAAGAACTTCACGCCTTGAGACTGCTAGTGCCGTGTGAGTTAGGGTTTGTTGTTGAAAGAGATTAATCTTAGGTTTTTGGGGATTATAGTTGGATTTACGGCAGGCTTAGATGGTTGTTGATTTTGAGCAGGGGTAGAGATCGAAACAGAGTGGGTCTTGAGGGATGAGTCTCGTGCTAGGGTCGGAGTAGGTTTCACGCCGGTGTGGTTCCCCGTCGGAGCATTAAGTGGCGTAGAGGGCGGCGACCTTTGTCTTGTTTAGGGTTAAGAGGGACGTAGAGCGATAAGGGTTGTTTTGAGAGAAAACCAGAGAGAACGGCGGGGTGTGTGGCTAGGGTAGAAAGAAAATGGTGTCTAGCTTGGTTAATTTTTTACCCTATCTATCATATATGAAATAATTGATACGACGTCGTTCTTCAGCAGGGTGAAACGGCAGCGTTTAGATGCGAGGGGAGAAACCGGGTTCTGGGATAATGGGTTAATATCATCATAGGTCCTTCTTTCATTGACCTGTTTCGTTTGGGCCCCGATTCGAGTTTTATTGGATTTCTAATTGTGTCTCTTAATTTTCAGCGTGTTTCATTTTAGTCCAGAGCCATGTTAGGGCTATTTTCATGTTGTTTAGACATTGAATGTGTAATTTGATAAACTTCCATTTTAGTCCTATGAAGTATTTTGGTTGTATTATGCTTGCAAGCCCTGGAAATGAAGTTTTTTTTTATGCTAAAAAGCCTGTTGTTTGGTTTCTTTATATTTTAGCCCCTTGTTCAATATTTTAAGCTTAATTGTAGGTTTAATTTAGATTTATTTCGAGTGTATGTATGTACATATTATTTCGAGCATGTTGTTAGTATGTACTTGTTTAGGTGTAATGTTTTAAAGCATGATATCCTCGTTTGCATGATTTAACCTGATTACATAATCAGATTAAGGGTAATACCCTTTTAATTTAAAACTGTCAAAATAGCTTTTCTTAACATACAGGAAAGTTGTTCTTAACGGTTTTAAATTACAAGTGTATCCCGTCATTAACACCAAAGAATTGATTATTCACTTTAAAATTTGGGAGTGAAAGAAAAAGAAATGTTCGACTATTTAAATTTGTTGAGAAAAGGTCGTTAGAACTGACCTAAAGATCTGATCTCAATATATTTAAATAATCGAACATTCTTTATCTTTCTAATGGCTTGGTAATTTTAATTTAACTTATTTCGTTTTTTTTTTGAATGTTACAAAATTAGCATTTTTGTTGTTTTAAGGGATCATAAATCAAACTAACTCCGAGCTTGTTAAATTCGTTGCAAAGACATTAATTAATCGACTAGGTACCGATTTAGGGCGTTGTGGGGGTGCTAATCCTTCCCCACACGTAACCGACTCCCGAACTTGGATTTTGGTAACATAGACCGTAAATTTGTCGTTTTTAATTAAAATTAATTTTTATTTAAAATGATAACGTTTTTGGGTGCCCAATCACACCTTAATCAAAGATTGGTGGCGACTCCTCGAACCTTATATTTTTTTCGTAAAGGAATTTCCAATTTTTTCGAAACGAGAGGTTTTTCTAAAATCGCACTGTTTTTAATTAAAAATTCAATTGAAAAAAGAATAATTAAAAATGATGCGGTTTTCTAAATCTCGCCCACACTTTAAAAATAGTTTCGACATCGTGAACCCACAATATCAGGCTAGAGCTTCATTCCCCGCTGATTGTCCTACTGCTTTTGGGCTGAAGCCAGGTGAATGTTATACTGTTATTGAGGTCCCTGACCTAAATGAATTAGCTGAAAAGGAAAAGATTACCCAAAGAGTGACATATTTAGAAGATGTGATAAAATCTAAGGAGATGGTCGAATTACCCTATGGGTTTTATGCTAAAGAGCTAAGTTTAGTTCTTGATCTGGTTCTCCCACCTAAGTTCAAGATTCTAGATTTTGAGAAGTACAATGGGACCACATGTCATTCATCCCACATCACCATGTACTATTGTTGAATGGATGGCTATGTGGAGAATGAGAAGTTGATGATCCACTGTTTTCAAGATAGTTTATCTAAACTGGCTTCCAAATGGTATAACCAGCTAAAGCGTACTCAAATCTATTCTTGGAAAGATAAAGCTCAAGCCTTTTTGGGTCAATACAAGAACATGACTGATCTAGCCCCTGATCGAATAACGTTGCAAAGCATGGAGATGAAGAGCAACAAGAGCTTCCGATAATATTTGTAATAATAGAGGGACGTTGCCTCTCAAGTGCATCCACCAATGATCAAAAAGGAGTTCTTTACTATGTTCATCAATACATTAAAATCTCCCTATATCAATCACATGATAGGGACTGCCACCAAGAATTTCTCTCACATTGTCATGTGTGGAGAAATGATCGAATCATCTATCAATAATGGAAATATAAGAGGCTCTGACAGTACTGACGTCAAGAAAGAAGTTGGGGTCAATACAGTGAAGTCGTATTTAGCTAATCATGGGGACCAAACCTTATAAAGTGTCCCGGGAGATGACCCCTATTGGTGAAATTCCAATGACATAAGAAGAATTGCTCCCATTACTAGTTGAGAAGAATCTCGTGACTCTAGTTCAGTCTAAACCGAGAGAACTCGGTATGATGCTAATGCATTATGTAACTACCATATGGGAAGCTAGGGAAATACTACTAAGAATTGTGGGGCATTGAAGCGTAAGGTTCAGAATTTAATTGATTCGGGGGCAGGGGCATTCGATGAATGATGGGGCATTCTGATGCAAACTGATAAAAATCATTGCAACCACTAGAAACTTTTGATGCACTCGCATGTTGTCTTGTTTGAATTTCTTTTCTTTCTCTTTTTGTTAAAAGGTTTGTAAGTCACTTGACAATCGAACATATTAAATAAAATGCTACCTTCTGAGGTTATGAGCAATGAGTAATTTTCAGACTCGAAATTCTTTAAGTATCCACTGGATTAAAAGCTCTTTTAAGAATCAGAGTTATAGATCTTTGATAAAATGACGAGATTAAAAACTGATAAAACAAGGACCCTTGACCTTACCACATATGATACATTTGAACATCATACCCTTCTCTTGCAGGGACCAATATGGGCATTCCCTCTCATGAGGAAATAATCAAGAGGTTTGACATTTAGGTATGAATAGGAGCAGATAACATGGGGCGTCTCTTGTGTATGACATTGCAAAATTGTCTAGACTACACTTCTGTTGAAGACGTTCAATGATGATACTAATCTTCGCAAATGTAATGGTAGAGTAGACGAATTTAGTTTAGGTCAGTTGTTTGGGAATTGAACTTTAAATGTGGAATTTCCTGACCATCAAAGACACCTAGACTATAACAGGTTCTTCTCGATGAGCTTAAGAAATTCTAAATCTAAATACTCAAAAGGTTAATAAATTATTGTTATTATAGATTATACAATAAAGCTTAGCTATTCCACTAAAGCAACTGGTTATAGAGGCAACTCAAAAGCCCTAGCTTTATGAATAGATGTCATTCAAACCATGACATTGATCCGATATCTGGAACTTCGGTGTTTTCTCCACTGCGATTGTCAAGTCTAAGACTTTGTGATGAGATGAATCCTTCAACTATGCCTGAACAAAGGCAAATTAAATAAATTCCAATAAATAAAGGCTATAATGCCTATTCTTGATCTAATAATGAGTCTCAATGAAAATGGACTAAGGGAGTTGAGGAACACATGTTATAGCCAACTTCACACAAGCACTCAGAAATTTTACATTTTAGACTAATTTCCTTGCACTACCTCTGCTAAAGGAAGTCTATAAAGATTGAACAAATGGAAGATTTTAGAAAACCAAAATAAAAGTTCTAGAAAGTCTAGTGATTAATTATGCTAGTTGAGTTATTTTGTCCGCATCTGATTAAAACGCCAAGCCAAAGAAGAGAGGTATGTCGTAAGGTTCACAAGGACCAATAAAGAAATGACATCTTGATGACTGAAACCATAGAAACTTTAAGGAGACAACCTAAAAACCAACCCATCAATTTTAACACTTGTCAAAGAGCTATAACTTTGAAAATATTAAAAGACATATTGATCCTTTTGATATTTAGTGAACTCATGTTATGTGATTTGCTTCAATTGTGAGCTTAATAGAAGAACATTTTTCTTAAACAAACTTTCCATATTTTGAAAATAAAAAAAGAAAATATTTTCAAATAGGACAATCTCCTTGGAGAGTTTAGATTGAAAATTAACAAAGGTTACTCAAATTTAGAAATTCAGAATCAGAAATTGGGGCAAAGAATTTGAGTCTTAGGGAGCAAGAAACGTAGATTTTTGCAAAGAAATGCAATGTTGTACTTTGGTGTGGGAGGAGAATGAAGACGAACAGATCAATAAGAGAACCAAGATTGCTTGAGCACCTCTTCACTGCTATTAATCAAGAAAAGGGAAGTTGTCTTTAGGACTTGCTTTATTGAGGTCTTGGTAGTCGACGCACATGCACACTTTTCCATACATCTTTGTTACCGGTACTGTTTTAGTCACCCACTCTAGATATTTGGCCACTTGAAGAAAACCAGCATCAAACTGGTTCTTGACTTCTTCTTTTACTTTAAGGAGCATTTATGGTCTCATCCTCCATAGCTTATGTTGTAAGGGTTTGCATTTTGGCTTAATTGGAAGTTTGTGAACCACTATATATGTGTCCAACCCAAGCATGTCTTGGTACGACCGTGCAAACACTTCTTTTTACTCCTAAAGTAAGTCTATTAAGCTTTTCCTTGCTTCCGACAAAAGAGTTGTGTCAATTTTAACATTTTTCCTTTCTTCTTCAGTGCCCAAATTCATAACTTCGATTTTATCCTTATGGGGGAAAATTTGCTTGTCTTCTCTCTCCACCATTCTTAATAACTCAGAAGATAAGTCACACTCTTCTTCATGGTCACATTCATCAATTTCCCCAAGACACTTGAACTGCTCAAAATCCATCTCCAGGTTAGAATCGCTATTGTCCGCATCATGAAGATCCAAAGAACTGAAAGGGCAAGGAGAAGAAAAAATGTATATGCGAGAGAAAAATATCCCACATAGAATGAAGAAAGGAAATAAAATTATATACAAAAGAAAGGAAATGAGATCAAGAAAAAAGAAATGTTTGCCAAAAAGGAAAATTGTATCTTTTATTGAAATATAAATAAAAATAATTCATTAACCCTTACAAAAGATCACCTATTGCCTCGGGTATAGGCAAATAGGGAAAGTTAAAGTATTACTTTGAAAGAGATTTAAAAACCACATGTAGTTCTTCAGTCGTCCAATTGTTAAGCATGAACCCCGACGGTAATGGACAGATTCCAAATCTATC